TATATGCTCATTGACAGTCTCTTCTTGCTATTTGCATTACAGGGATCATTTTTCCATGTCAATGAATATTCTTAAACCATAGGACTTTTGATTGTTATATAGAATTGCTTCAAGCAGAAAATGCCTTATATTTCTTAACCAGTGACCTATTGTTTTATATTAATAACCAGTGCTTCTTGCAGGGCCTCTCTGCCAGGACAGAAAATTTTATGGATGTCTCCACAACAAGCTGTCACCATATATGGCTTTAACAGATCACTGCACATAATTAGAGGACATCTGAGGTCAAGAGCTTTTCCATTAATTGAAATAATTAAGATATCTTTTTCTCTGTAGATTTTCCCAATTCCCCTTTTTGGCATTAGTCACAGTAACTAATATTCATGTCATGTTTTAATGTAACCTCTGTCAGTTCTGGGAACATTTATGCAGCAATGAATTTTACCTAAAAGGAACAAAGCTGACTGCAAAACATATCTATTACAATGTCACAGATGTGAGTCATTCATTTGGTAGGTACTTACTGAGTGTCTAAAATAAGCAGACAACTCCATTCTGGGTGGGCAATATTCCGTAAACACTGAGCTTCCATGATGTGCAAGGATGCTAAGAAATGTAACTTCTTTTAAAAGATTTTTCTCTTGGGGACTGTCATTTTTAAAAGATTGATCCCTGAGGGTTGGAGCAATCAGAAAAGGTTCCATGGGAAAAGTCTTGAAAGGATTGAGAAGATAGAAATGAGAGGAGAGAGCTTTCAACCGAGGCTGAGACAAGTACGTTTATCCTTGGGGGACAGTAGATTGTGTTCACCAGGAGTGTAGGCGTGGGAGTCAATTCTGACAAGAAAGTTGGGGGAGGTTCCTGAATGCCAGGCCAGGGGAGTCTGGGCTCCACTGAACATCATGGGAGGAGGCTTTTGAGCTGCGGAGTGACTTGGTGGTCTAACCACCTTGACGTGACGAAAGTCAGTTCATCTTTAGTCCTCTGAAATCTCTTTGGTAAGATTTTAAATTTATGTTGGAAGTTAAAATTGTGTATCCATCACCACTTTATTCCTGCTCTTTGATCAAGATCCGTATGTGGGAACTGACCCAATAGTGACACAGTCCAGTTATAAATTCACATGTAGAATTTGCAAAATTAAGTTTAAAAATTCCCGTAACAGAACTAGAATTTTTCCCACAATGGCACAATTAAGACATTATCTCAGCTTTTTTGCCTTGAAAATTTTTTATAAAACAAATGTAGCATCATTGCAGAAATTTTAAAAATAGAAACAAAATCTTATAACCAAATCCTAAATGTAACTCTTTAAACTTTACGTCTTTCCAGTTTTGTCAAAAATGCATGTTTATTTTTAATTGAAATCTTACAATAATATTGTATAACTATTGTAAATAGATTAAGCTAACATACTACAAATGGATTAAGACAGTCATTTTTACAAAAATCATTTTTAAGATTTATATAAACATTTTTGAATAGATATACCCAATTTAATCATTCATCCATATTTAGATGGTGTCATTTTCCCTTGTTTTGATTAAAACTTTCCATTCGGTATGCCATTGACATTTTGATATACAGAGATGGCATTCAGGTGTGATAATATCTCTTTGATCCTTGGGAGTGCGTGGGTGGGGCTTGGGGTCACTGGGGCCCCCAGACTACTAGCCCCAGGCTTCATGAATTAAAGTAATTAACCAATTACTTTAGTGGGCTGTACAAATATTATCATTTTCAAAGTGTTTCATTGCATGAAAAAAGTTGGGATCTATTTTTATAGTGGTGCAGTAATTGTCCTCAACCTCTATTAATATTTCTGGTTATTATTGAACTAAGATTGTTTTCACAATTGAATTTTAATTACTTTTTAGAGCAATACTTGCACATGATAAAAATTGTTAATGGTACAGAAAGGTAAAGAGTGGTAGTAAGTGCCTCTTTAAACCTAGGCATTGTGTTTCTCTCCACAGAGCCCAGCTGTCATTAATTTCTTGCGTATTCTTCCAGAGGCTTCCAAAGGCCAAACAAGCACCTATCTATCTACAGTGTTGCATAAATTTACTAATAGAATATTGATATCTAAATCTATAGCTATTTAGGGGCAATATTAAAAATATTTAGCACAGTTACCGACACGTAGAAGGAAGGCCCACAGTATATAGGATGTGCAGTAGGCATTCTGGCACATCTTTAGCTTTGAATGCATGGTCTTGCTTTTACACATTAGTTCTCGGCTCTTTTAATCTAGTAATATGATTTGAAGATTATTCCACATCAGCACAGACAGGGTGCTTTATTCTTTCAGCGGTACTGTGTTTTAACCACTTCCTATAGATGGATTTTTAGGTTCTTCTTAGTTTTTTGTTACTATAGCAATGCCCCAACAAATATCCTTATGTAGTGTGAACTTATCTGTAGCATAAATGTCTAGATGAAGAATTGCTGGGGAAAATAGTATAGGCATGTAATCACACTTAGTATTAAATTTCCCTCCAAAGAGATCGAATGTTTCAGTCTATCGACAAAGTATATGAGGGCCTATTTCCCAAACCTGGGCCAACTCAGCATATCTGTATTAATGTGAAGGTTAATTAATGTGAAAAATGGTTTCTTGATTTAATTTGCATTCAATTTAAAAATATTTAAAATATTTGGAATGTTCCTGAATCAAGTTTTTCTCTGTAATTAGACAGGCAAGCTTCATCCTTGAACCTGAAACAGGCACAGATACTACAGAAGGTGATAAGTGGGTGAGGATAATAAAAAGCAAAAACTCCTTGAGAGTATCTTCCCAAGGATGAGAGTAGCAACAGTGTTTACTTTTTTTTACTTTTGTCTCCTCTTCTCCATTTCCATTAGATTGAGTTAGAAAGTTGTGAGTTACATAGATGTGTGATGTGTTTGAGCCTTGCTTGAGGTTTGGAAATTCAGAAGTGCAGAAAGAGTTCATCTGTCTATTTTGGGTAACTCACGTCAAATTCCAGGTACCATCATTTCTCCCTAGCAAAGCCAGCAGATCTGCAGAATCAGAGAGAGTGACAGAAATAATGGAAGAAAAAAGAAAAATAATTTAAGTACTATTTGACCTGGGAAAGGCTTATAGAAATCAGCATGTTTCTTTGTTTTTGTTTTTTTTAATTGAAGTACAGTTGATTTGCAATGTTGTGCCGATTTCTGTTGTACAGCAAAGTGACTCAGTTATACACATACATACATTTTTAAAAAAAATATTCTTTTCCATTATGGCTTATCACAGGAAGTTGGATATAGTTCCCTGTGCTATACATTAGGACCTTGTTTTTCATCCATTCTAAACGTAATAGTTTGCATCTACCAACCCCAAATTCCCAGTCTTTTCTCTCTCTCCCCCTGCCCTTGGCAACCACATGTCTGTTCTCTATATCTGTAAGTCTGTTTCATTTGTGCCATATATTACATTCCACACATAAGTGATATTATATGGTATTTGTCTCTTTCTGACTTACTTCACTTAGTATGATAATCTGCAGTTGTATCTAAGTTGCTGCAAATGGTATTCGTTTGTTCTTTTTCATGGCTGAGTAGTATTTCAATGGATCATGTATCACTTCTTATCCATTCATCTGTTGGCAGACACTTGGGTTGTTTCCGTGTTTTGGCTATTGTAGATAGTGCTGCTATGAACATAGGGGTGCGTGTACCTTTTGGAATTATAGTTTTATCTGAGTATCTGCCCAGGGGTGGGATTGCTGGATCATATGGTAATTTCTGTTTTTAGTTTTCTGAGAACCTCCATACTGTTTTCCACAGTGGCTCTGCCAACTTACATTCCCACCAACAGTGTAGGAGAGGTCCCTTTTCTCCACACCCTCTCCAGCATTTGTGTTTGTAGACTTTTTAATGATGGTCATTCTGACCCTCTGTGAAGTGGCACCTCATTGTAGTTTTGATTTGCATAAAAATCAGTGTATTGAGTCACTTCTTCTGTTTCATTAACTGGTAGGCGTCACTGGTATCCTGCCCTTTAGATTAGATGTAGTTAGGGAAGCTCAAGGGATTTGAACTCATGTTCTGAGTTTCTTTTCTGTTTTTTTTTGAAGAAAATAAGAGTATGCTGTGACACATGCTCTGTTTTTGCAGATTATTATATCACCTCCCACCCCAACCTATTCCCATTTATTATTTAAGGAACTGGATATGCAAAGGCAGGGAAGAAGTATGTATGAAGTAAGATCCCAAATCAGTCAACTGCAATGGTTCACGAAGAGAAGACTTTCCAAAGACAGACAAAAATATACCTTCCCTCAAATAATCTTGATACTCTTCCCCATATGTAAGAAAAGTCAATATTACTGGAAAAATATACATTTATCCTTACTTAATCTTACTCTATGCTCTTTCAATGAGCTTTAGATCTTAAAAACGTGGGAAACAAGTCTTAGATTAATATCGAAGTGCGAAAAACAAATTTAGATTTGGGCCCCACTTTAGGTTCTAGAGTCCCACCCCCATCCAATCAGGGTACGTCCCCGCGGTCACCCTGGTTGTTTAAAAGCAAGCGGTTTAAAAAATCTCAAATCCTGCCCTTTGTCAACTTGGCTGCCTCGGAGTTGCCCCTTCGCAGACTAGCGATTTAGGATAGAAAATGCGGCGGTCGTGCCCCACCGCAGCCGGCTCCGGAGGCTGAGCCCCCGGGACGCGCCCTCCGCCCCGTCCTCCAAGCCGGGCCGGAGCCCCTGGCCCCTCGCCAGCGCCCCCTCCCCGCGTGCTGCGGCGGGTGCTCCCGAGCGCCCCGCCTGACGCTGCAGCTGGGCCGGCGATTCGCCATTGGATTAAAAATAGCAGCGTCCCCTTCACCCGCCAGCCCAGGCCCGGGGTGCCCGCTCCCGCCCTGCGGCCGGCTCTCCCCGCCCGTCCCGGCTCGGCTCCCGTCGCCCGCGCAGCCCGCCGCCGCCGCCGCCGAGGTGGGCAGACCCAGCGCTCCGCTCGGCTCGGCTCGAGTGCGCGCCGCGGCCATGCAGCGCCGGGGCGCCCTGTTCGGTATGCCGGGCGGCAGTGGCAGCAGGAAGATGGCTGCAGGAGACATCGGCGAGCTGCTAGTGCCCCACATGCCCACGATCCGCGTGCCCAGGTCCGGGGACAGGGTCTACAAGAACGAGTGCGCCTTCTCCTACGACTCCCCGGTAAGTGAGGTTCGGCGGCGGGACGGCGCCTCGGGGGAGGTCGCGGTGCCCGCGGCCTGGGGCGGCCGCGAGCCGCCGAACTCGGCCGCACGTGAAGCGCGGGGTAGGGGGGAGAAGATGCGCGGTGGCAGCCCGGGACCGGCTCCTCCGGGCTCCAGAGTTGGCTCGGGGGCACGGCAGTTCGGCAGACACTTAAGGAGTGCCTACTGGGTGCCCGGCGGCGCTGGATTCCCCAGGGCTGCTGCAGCCGAAGCCCGGGGCGGCCGGGGTGGTTTGCTCCGCCAGCCTTCTTAGGCTGCCAGGACCCCAATTCCTAGCAGCGGCTCCAAAGCCCCGCCACCGTTTGAAATATAGATCGAGTCGAAGAGTTTCCTAATCTTAACTGTGCGTTGCAGATGGTTTGCGTTCTCTTTGGGGCGAGCGCGGAGGGCGGGTGGGCGGACGAGGTTGATTCACCCCGGATGCACGCAGCCCTTCTCTTTCTGGGACCGTTTGCTTTGCTCAGGGATTCCCACTCCTGGACTGTTCTGCTTTCCTCTCTCCACTTTAAATTACTCCCCACTCCTTTTCTTTCCGTGAGAACATCGGAAGAAACCTTCGGGTGCTTCCACTGGGGCAGCAGACATCGAGGGTCTGTTGGATTGTTACGGTTTCCCGAATCCTTTCTCTCTCTCTCCTAAACGAGTCACTTTGAGTGAAATGCACCAGTATAAATTATTAAAAGTTCAGTCGCGAGTCGTGACCTCAGAGACTGGCGGGGGAAGTCGAGACGCACCACCGCCTTCCTCCCGGCGCTGTTGGTGTGTTTTTCACCAGGTTGTATGTGTATGTATGAGAAGGAAAAAGGAGGGTGAACTGTCCTTTTCGGGAGTCAAAATGGGCTTCAAAGTGACTCAGCTGTCTGGCGTTTATCATGTCTTTTTGAGGACCAGGTTATTTTTATCCACCCACTTTAGAGCTCATGTGTCACTCGGCAGATCTCAATGCAAAAGGGAGGTTTCTGGATTGGAGGCACCGAGGCAGGTTTCACAACAATAGTCTAACACAGTTTATTCATATTATGTTTTGTTGGATGAAAAAAAAAGCCAGATAAATGGCACATGTTCCAAAGTATCCTTATTATCTTGTGAGTTGCTTTCGGCTGATTTCCAAGTCTTTTTGTTTTGTACACAGTGGAGTTGCAGAATTTGTATCCTTTCTGTTGTATTTTTATTTTATGCTAATAATATATCTTTTGGGAGATAAAGTCTCATTTATTTGCTCATTGCTTCTTTTTTCTTTTAAAAAGGTGTGTAGTGTGAAATGAAATGGTTACATTTATTACTTAGCGGCTTGTGATCACACTCCTTCATGTGTCTGTCAGCAGTGTCATTGTATCCACAAAGTATCTGAAAAATGTCATTTTCAGATTTTGTGTCTAGTGTTGAGCAGGTTTCCACTAATAGCTTCTAAAGGTGGAGAAGAATGACCCTAATTAACTTAAGTAATGGAAGGTTGTGAATGCCATGGGGGAAGTAGCCCCTAGGATAATACAACACGTAAAGTGGGTAAAACCACTTTCTCTGTTTGAACTGGGTTACTCTTCAGATTCTTCTTACAAATTTTGTTACTGAAAGTCTCTACTGTATTTTATAGTGTATGGTAGGAGTGAAGGAAAAAAGCTGATTATTTTTCTCACTTTTCACAAATAGTTACTGGAAGCTTACTGTGTGCCAAACACTATTCTAGAAGTATCTTGTCCAGTGTAAACTGATTTCATTCATGTTGAAGTAGTTCCTTGGGGAAGACTGGGCTTATTTACAAGGCCGATGAATCAGTATATTTCTTTATCTATGTCTCAAGGGAGGAAGAGAAAGAAGATTTTATAACAAGTTATATTAAAGTACAGTGCATGATAGTTCGAGATCTTTCCCTATGGTACTTATTTAACACTTCATCATAAATCTCATAAGGGTTCTAGAGCACCCACTATGTGCCCGCTGTTACATGCATGGCTATAAGAACCATACAGAGCAAAATTCATTGGTGTCAAACCGCAGAGGCTTTAATCCACCAGTGTAGTAGGACCGTGGTAGAGAGAGGACCAAAATCATCTGGTGGAAAGAATAGTCATCCTTGCATTGCGTACTTTTGAGAATGGTCATAAATAAGGATGATTAGAAATAAATAGAACAACATTCTAGGCCACGTAAACTATATGTGCAAACCCAAAGTGTGAATATTTTCTTTTTATTTGCTAATAATGTTTTTGGAAGAAAAAGACTGATTTGATAAGCAGTGAGGTCAGAACCAAGTAGAATAGAAGATGGGGGCCTTGAATGCCAAGAACAGGATCTTGAATTTCATGCGGTCAGTCCTGGAAAGCTCCTGTGAGTAGTGTGATTTAAAGGGGTGTTAGAGGAAGACTGAACTGATAAACTTTTATTTTGCGTCTCCCGTGTCTAAGGTGTGGTGTGACCACTGTTGCTCTTCTTCACCTTCATGGTGTGAAGTGGGACAGCGTGGCAACTCATTTCGGTGCCCCTCTCCTTCCTTTCTTCCCACTTGCTAGGGATTTGCAAGTTAGGTTCACCTCTCCAGGACCTGGTTCATCTTGCAGGATCTGTAATGGGACCTTCCTGGAAAGGGGGGCTTTGTGTTCCCAGCTGCTGGCCGAGCATCTGGTATATGTACCAGGAACTCAATGAATGTCTAGGAAACATACAAATTATCTGTGGTTATGGGTTATGAAAATGGTAAGGATACACCACATGGGCAAAACTGGGAAAGGAATCTTGTGGGATTCTCATGTAGAAAGTGGGACTTTGTTGTGGGGACAGATGTGAAAGAAAGAGCTGGACTGGCAGGGTTTGAATTCCAGCTCTGTCACCCAGCTTTGTAACTTCTCTGTGTCCCAGTTTCTCCAGTCTGAAAATGAAGACGATAATAGATCCTACCTCATGGGGGTGTTTTGTGGATTAAATAAATATATGTGCCTGGCCAATTAGTAATTGCTATAGGAAAAATGGGGCTTCCCTGGTGGTTCAGATGGTAAAGAATCTGCCTGCAATGCAAGGGATCTGGGTTCAGTTGTTGGGTCAGGAAGATCCCCTGGCGAAGGGAATGGCAACCCATTTCAATATTCTTGCCTGGAGAATTCCATGGACAGAGGAGCCTGGTGGGCTACATACAGTCCATAGGGGCACAAAGAATCAGACATGACTAAAAGCTACTAACACTTTCACTGTCACAGGAAGAAAAGAAAGAGATAAGAAGTTGTAAGCCCAAGTGTTTGATTGTCAGGGGTTATGTAGAAAGTTTGATGTAGTTAAATGGGGGACATTGGTTCATACTTATGCTCACAACCTTCATGAACTACCATGTAAAATCTCTCTCCTCCTTAGTCATCGAGCCCCACCTTCATCTGAATATACCGTGTCCCACCTCTCCCCCCTTTCTAGGTTGCGAGCTCTGGGGAGTCCAGACTCTGGGTCTTCAACCTGTGGAGACTTTTTTCCTTTTCTAGGACCACTTTCCTCTCTTTGTAATCTTTCAAAGCTCTTTCTCAGCCCTTTCCTTCTGCTTTAGACTTCATCCTTTCCTCTGAAGCCTACATTACTTAGGGTCTGTGTTGTACAACACAGTAGTTAGAGTCTGTCTTATATAGTTTGCCATCATTTTCTTTCTTTTTACCCACTTAACTGGTAGTTTTAAAGCATCTACCAGGTGCAAAGCCTTGTCCCAATCACAGGTAGGAGAGGAGCAGGGCCACAGGGCTGGCTGCTCATTATGCCCCCGCCCCACCTATGTGGGTGTGGGGAGCTGAGCACGTCCTGTCTCAGCTGGGGTCAATTGAAGACTGAGAAGAGGCCTTTGGCCTAGGCCTTTTATTTTGGAAAGGTATCCCAGGGAACAGAAGAGGAAGAGCGTCCAAAGGAATAGGGACAAAGGGAAGGAAGGAAAGCCAAACGGAGGTGAGTTACTGGGCCCTTGCTCCCCACCAGGACTCTGGCGAACTATCAGGGCCCCTCAGCATTGCCTTCCTGCCCCGGGACCCGGAAGAAGAGAGTGTTTATCCACTGGCTCCTGTGGCCGGTTGGTCAAGGGTATGCCCCAGGGCCGAAACACTCGACTCTTCCAGGCTTGTGTTTGTGCCTGGGAGGCTAAGCAGGCTCCCTGCAGGCTTGCTGAAACCAGCAGCCTCTGAGAATCGAGAGATCCCAGTGCAGCAACGAGGCTAGGACTGTCAGGCCACTCACTTGCTACTGTGAGCAGGGGCACACCCCCCAAAAATGGCTGTGAGACCAGCTTAAGCCCTGTCCCCCTCACCTCTTCTTCCCTTCCAGGGTCAGCACCATTTTGTAAAAAGGAGCTCTTCCCCCATTCTCCAAAGTTCTGCGATCTCTTAGTGATGTTGAGAGGTCACTGTTGGTTCTCTGCCTTCCTTGGGAGTCTTTGCAAATCTCTGGGAGCCTCAGTTTGGTAGTTGCTGGTGTAGATATCCATCGGGAAAGGCTTTGAGATCCTCTCCTTGTAGGAAAATTTCATATTAGGGGCTCAGTAAATTCTTCTGTGATTTACGGTAAGAAATGTATATTTGATTTTTGTTCCTATTCCTGGCACAGAGCTCCTAAAACTCTTGGGATTTCCTAAATGATAAGAGCCATGAAGGTGTCTTTCATTATTCTTAACAATCTCCTTTCAGCCACACCTGAGTTTATATCAGAGGCTTTTGGAAAGCCCCTGATTGCCAGGGAAACGACCCTAGTGATTAGAAGGTTGGAACTATCTGCCCCTCCTCATCTCCTGGGTTGTTGTTCAGTCACTCAGATGTGTCCAACTCTTTGCAGCCCTGTGGACTGTAGCCTGCCAGGCTCCTCTGTCTGTGGGATTTTCCAGATAGTAATACTGGAGTGGGTTGCCTTCTCCAGGGGATCTTCCCCACCCAGGGATTGAACCTGTGTCTCCTGCTCCGTCAGGTGGATTCTTTATATTGAGCCACCTGGGAAGCTTTTCCCTCC